ATCCGTCGCCCCCCCCATCCGTCGCGTGCTCTCACCGTCGATGCTGGCATCTCTTCCAGCAACACCGCTACGGTAGCCGTGTGGTACGAGAAGTTGTTATCCGCGCTGTCCAGCCTACGGAGGAACGGGTGGTGTACATACGCCGAGGGGGTTCCGTGGTTGAACGCTTCATACACGGTACGCCGAACAGAGTATTTGTATGTATCGAGAATCGACGGGTTGGGGGTGGTGTGACAACAGGTGTCGTGTATCGTACGCCCCACACAAAACACGCTCGAAGCACCCTTGCACAAAACCAAGCACGTAACGCATCTGCTCACTTCTTGGCAAAACACACAGGTCGACAACGCAGCAAAAAAGTCATGGCACACCCCGCACGACTTAAACGCCCCTGTAACTCATTCTGAAAAAAAATAGACTTCAACCCACCCACCCCCCGCTTCAAGACATGACTACCCCCCCCCATACACCCCCCACCACCCCCCACGCTCCTGATTGCCGTTGCCATCAACACAGCAGCAGCATGTGCGTGTACCTGAGAAGTTGGCGAAGGACGGGCCACAGCGACGTGGCGTGCTCCTGCGCACGGGCCCTCGCGGTCGCCGTCGTGTCGCCCTCCGCCTCCGCCCATGGCACCGGCACCCTTGGCTTGAGCGGACCCACCCCCCGAACCAGCAGCGGGAGCGGCCCAACCTCATACCCTTGGGCGATGTCCTCGGTCTGTAACCGTCACAAAGCCCGATGATACATAGCAGAGGTGATATACAGCAGACGAAGGAGGGGGCAGGGGCAGCAGCAGGGTATTCCTTAGACGAGGGCCGGCCAAGCGGACGCGGACGCGGGGCGTACTCAAGTTTTTGCATGCCGTAGTTGTTAGGCCAGACAATTGACCATACGTCCTCGAGAGGACGAAGCATTGTTCCCGCAGGGCCGATTACCGATGGTCAATCGTTCCTATCTACTTTGCGCGCACGGGAGGTACAAGCTACCTGAGAATAAGGCACCCTCCTATTGAATGAGCACGGGACAGCCAAGCGGAGGTGGAGGCGTGTCACAACCATGCCTGTCTGTCTATGCGCCTCTCTCTCTACCTCTCTCTCTTTCTCTTGACTGCAGAGAGCTCGTTACGTCACCAAAACACTTGATGCTGGGATGTTTTCTCACCCGAACGCAAGCGCGGGCGAGGGCGCTGACGAGTTTGTCCATCTCCTCCACCATCAAACGCGGCTGTGTGTCCAAGCCGTTCGCCAAGAACAGGGAAGACGAGGGAAAAAGAGAGAGGAGAAGAATAGAGGGGGTGGGGGGGGGTCAAAGGCAACAGATGGAGGAAACTAATGCTGCTGCTGTTACGACTGTCCAGCTTTTCCATTAAGAAGAATGGAAGGGGGGTGGGGGGGTGGGGGGGTACTCTTTTATGTTTTGCATGTCTTAGCGGTTAGACCATTGACCACGCGTCCTCGAGAGGACGGAGCATTGTTCCCACAGGACCGATCACCGATGGCCAATCGTTCCTTCCTACTTTGCCAAAGGTGGCTCAAAAATGTCTTCCCTAGTCTGTCTATCCTAACGATATCCCTTCCGCCTTTTCAACCCACCTCCTATGCCCCACTACAGCTACCGTCCTTTCCTCTCTATTCTATGCCTCAAACATCTCCCCGTACGTCCCATCTATTTTTCCCAGCTCAGTCACGTACACTTCCCTCTCCTTCTTGTACCATTAACATTCCGCGACTACATGAACACGGTCTTCACATTCGAAGCCGCAATCACATTTGAACTCGTCGTCTTC